ACTGTATATTATTACCCAATTCGTTTCGTGCAATAATTTGTGGGCCGAGTGGTTGTGGAAAGACAAACGCTATCTTAACATTACTATCCCAACCGAATGGCGCCAAATTTAACAATGTGTACGTATATTCAAAATCATTGTATCAACCTAAATATCAAGTGGTTCAAGGAATTTTCAGTAAAGTCAAGGGGTGGGGATATTATCCGTTCACGGAAAATGAGGATATCATAAGCCCTCACGAAGCCAAATCAAATTCCATATTCATTTTCGATGATGTCGCATGCGATGACCAACAGAAAATTCGCGAATATTATTCTGTATGTAGGTATAAGAACATTTATTGGGACGATCCCAACGAGCTATGCGAACGTCTCAAATTATTGCTAGCCTCTCGAGATGCAGGAAATACTTCATTTTTCAACAATAAAATCATTGCTATTTTGAATGAACTCAAAGAGGCAAAAATAATTCTATAAGATACACTACGTTCCCCAATACATTATCATTTTCAAAATGGTTATCGATAAATTTGGACGTAGCGACAGCAACAGAAAGCGAAAATTGCCAACGTCCTCTGGAGTATGTTTGTTGCATTGTACCTCAGATGGTAATATTCATTGTGGTGATGTGAAATTGTGTCATGTGAAGAGCCCCACCACTGATTACGATGTTGCTAATAAAAAGTATGTGGATGGAACCGATACTGAACTTGCTTCATTTATATATCAACTAGCTAAGAAACACGAAAAAGAAATGAAAAACTAACCAAATTTTAAGGTGACATCATCAAACAAATTACCGAAATAAATTCGAAGGTACAATCTACTATCAAGGAAATCAAAAAGTTACAAAATGAAGTTCAAGCATAACCAAAATAAAAGAGCGGGGTTCACACATGTTCACCATCAGTTGTCATTACTTCCAAAGACAAGATTCAACTTGTCAACGAACTAAATAAACCAATTAGAAAAAATTATTCTCGACGCCGTACAGTTTATCAACGGAATAGATGACTTATGGCAGATGGACTTGGCTGAGATGAGATCGTTCGCTCACCAAAATCGAAATTTCAAACTGATTCTAGTCGTCATAGATTGTTTTTCGAAATTTGTGTGGACTTGACCACTGAAATAAAAAACGGGAGAGGAAATTACGAAAACGTTTGCAGATATCTTGACACATACGAAACGTTGTCCAAAAAATTTACAAACCGATCAAGGTAAAGAATTTTACAACAATTAGTTTCAAACTTTGATGAAAAAACATGGAATAAATCACTACAGTACGTACAGCATCACTAAGGCTTCTATGGCTGAACGTATCATTAGAACGTTGGAAGAAAGACTTTTCAAATATTTCAGTTTGAATGGCACCTACAAATGGTTGAATGTTTTGCCTGAAATCACAAAATCCTACAATGATACGCGACACTCGAAGACGGCCATACAACCTTCGAAAATCACCAAAACTAACGAAAAACAAATTCTCAAATCAACATACACCTATCTGAAAATAGCTGGACCGAGAAAATTCAGAGTCGGTGATGTTGTACGAATCAGTAAGGCAAAACACATTTTTGAAAATGGCTATACGCCAAATTGGACTACGGAATTATTCAAAATTATCAAAGTCAATATTACCAACCCCTTTACCACCTTTATACTAGAAGATATGCAGGATGCACCTATTAGGGGTGCTTTTTATGAAGAAGAAATACAAAAAACTGCAAATCCTGATATATATCTCGTGGAAAAAGTCTTGAGGAAGAAAGATAAAAAATGTACGTAAAATGGCTGGGTTTGGATAACAAACACAACAGTTGGATAGAAAATGTCGATTTTGTATAGAATCTTATGGAAAACAAGCACACTGATAATGTATTGTGTGTTTAACAAACGCACAATATCTGAAATAAACCACGTGATCTGAAGCTATAAGAGCGCATGCAAACACAGATTGATATTCAGTTTGAAAATGTCTATCGATAGTGGTTACGGTAGTGGAGTTGAAGTAGTGTTCGACAGTGATGGTGAAGATTACAATAGAAGTCTAAATGCAATAGACAGAGCGTTAGAGCAATACGAAATGGCTGCTCGAAACGAACATCAATTGCTGTTGATGGCATTCCCCATGTCATCTTGTGAAATTCGATGTGGCCTAAGTCCATGCAGAGACTTCAGCCCATGCATAATTTTGAAGCAGCAGTTCTCTATTCGTAACATCAATTTAACAAGTTATGAATGGGCGACCCTCATTGACATCCTGCAACAAATAAAGGAAAATTTCTTCGAATCACAAATCGATGGATATCTAGACGAATATGATCCAATTACAACACGTTGCGGGGATTACATNGCAGCCCTAAGACGAGTATTCAACTCGATGTAGGGACGCAGCCATGCAGATTGTTTGAATTTCACAACCCGATGAATTTTGGTTAAAATCGAATCATTTTTCAATACTTGTTTCAAGTTGCGATAATGCAAAATATATTTGTCTTTATTATACAGGGTACCATTGATTTTTTTTGTTTGGAATTTGGTGGTGCTTGAAGCTCTGGACAAAACGAAAAATCGTTGTGTGAATCATGTAATATCTCAGGGTATTCCGAATCAACTTCCAATATGTAGCCTTCTGAAGCAATGTCAGGATATAAATCATTGACGTCTAAATATAAAAGATATTTTGAAGACCTTTCTAGATTGTATGCTTTCATATATTTATTATTTGCTTCAGAATATCTATTCGAATAAACCGATATTCCGCCCCTTATCCCTTTTTCTACAAACAAAATCATGTCAATGTCTTTTCAAATTTGTAATTTACAATTCATATACTTCAACATGGCATCCCACGTGTACCCAGGCATAGTATAATATCATGCGGGATCCAACCCATAAGTTGCCATGCTTTTTTGTCGAAAGTTTTCAAAAACGTCTGCCAGTAATAAAATATCTGTTTTTAAATATAAGTCCGCATACGATCCCAAATTTGTAATTTCGAATGATTCCCAAACATGTTGTGCGTGAGCATATTTTTCTTCTGTTATGTATTCATCATTTAATTTATTATAGAATTCTTCTCGTGATGGTAACTCGGTGACGTTCAATTTCTCCATGCTATCTATATAATCATATGGAAATACCCCCTTCCTGGTGAGAAGAGCGAATTTCTCATCATCTAAATGACTGAATTCTTTTTTTTTAATTTTCAAATCATTTTGATCCAATGTGGATACTAATTCATCCAACGATGTTCCCATAAATCGAAAAGAATCTATAAATCGAAATTTAATTTTAGTTTCAGCATCCTTCTGTGTAAAGGAAATATATTTTTCTTCATTCGAGGGAAGTATGCTCACACATCCTTTTTTTGCGATATCTCTGATAATGAAGTGACTGTCGTATCCTGAAAGATTATGAAAAGTGATGGGTACCACGAATAATTTTCGAAAGTTGACATTACAGGAGGCTTGGTGTGCAAATCCGCGGAACGCTCCCGTATAGTGACCGTGATCGTACACGATAACATCTTTGGGGGCGAACGGTTTTTCGCAAATATGACAAGTCGTTGCAGCACCGATATTATTCAAAGGCACTATCATCGGCTCAATATTCTTAATTTTGGATTCAACAAATTTTGCAATACCAGACAACTCATCGGCAAACCATTTCATACAGTCTTCACCTCGACAGCTTTTGAAATGAGAGAGACTGTCGTCATAAGAACACTTGAAGTAGTAGCCTGCACTGAAAGGTATATGTTTTTGATATTTTGTAATTTTTTCAGATATGCTTTCGTTACATTTTTTCAACAGTGAATCGAAATCAGCAAAAATTATAAACGGACATTTTTGTTTATAGTTTCAAAATTCCACATAATCGTATGTAGAAAAGAAAATTTTACAATCATTCACTTTTTCGCACAAAACAGTATGATCATTTAATTTTTGCTGACTTGAAAAATGATTTAGGCATCTATCACAAAAGATTTTTTCCTTGATATTTTTGTTCAGTTGTCTACTTAACAATCGAGACATGTCTTCGATCCAACAATGATGGAATTTAATTTCAGTCTCGTGGAGCCCCATAATCGTTCAATTTTGGAAAATATTTGTCATGAATTAATAACAAATTAACATGTCTGTCTCGTTTTGTTGTCGTAAGTCTGGCAGGTACTACTACAAAAATTGATTTTTCCTTTGCTTGATTCAATTCCAAAGTGTAAACATTTACAGAAATATCATTAAGTTTTTCAAATTTGGAAATTTGATCTAAGTCCATTGGAGTATTCAGCCCTGTAGTATTCAAAACTGTAGAATAGTATGGATATTTTGACACTCAGTTAGAAATTTTTGCTACAGGATACAAGGCGCTAATAATACTCCAAAAGGAGCACATTTCGTCATCGTTTTGTACATTAATGCATGCCTGCTTCCTTGCGATTTCTTGCGGCAGTGGAATGAAAGAAGAATCGTTACCAATCACATATTTATTAATTGCTACTTCCAACAAAAAAATTTCACTCAAAGCCCACCCCGGATGTCGTTCTTCAAATTCGCCTAATATAACATCTACAGCATTTTCATTGTACCAAGCAGCCAAGTCCGTACTTGAATCAATAACTTTATTTGGCGTACTGAAATATTTGCGATCAACAATTTCCCCATCATTCGATTTTTTAATAAAGTAAAATTAACTTTGAGGCATGACATTTGTTTCGAAATTTTGGAAATCTCACGTTTGAATAATGAAAAAGCATCGTCTAGAAACTTTTTAGGATCTTTATGAGTTAAATTGATGATTACCCCCGTTGTTACTCTACTATTGGAAACATTGTTAACATTTTGTCACTTCACCCTGGTGCTTCGTCGTTTCAAACCCGAGCCAATACGTTTATTATTCATCATTTTTATAATCACTTTGAAGCGTTTCAATTCCCCAATTTGTGTAATTATTTTCTTTTTTTCCTCAACCAAAAATTTTTTCATAGCTACAACGCATTTCTTTATATGTTTATTAATAAATTTTATAGCTTGTTTGACAATATGATCCGAATAATTATCTTTGATGTGTAAAATGTATATATCAATTACCGACTTGATTTTTGGAAAATCGACCATTTAGATTTCATTTATTGACATGACTCACCGATATTTTGTTCACGAATGAAATTCTAGGTATGATGAGTCGGTTTTGGAAGCTGCAGAGAATTGAATCTCATTCTGTGGACACTTTTGAGATGGTTCTGGAAGCTGCTGTAATTTGAAACTCGTTCTGGAAAGGTTGCTAAGTTGGATTTGGATGTAGTTGTTGAGATGACTGAACTGATACTGCACACGTTGATGTAGTGTTCTGAAATAAATATGATTTTTAATGCAAATATACACCAAAGAAAAATAAAATTCAAGAGTGGGGGTAATGTGTTTCATGGAGTGATTGTGAAAAATGAGCGAGCTACAGTTATAACTGAAAAAAAAGTCAACTGTCATTCAAAACAACGAATTTAAAACACATATTCTGCAAGTACTTAACACATAAAAAATATTGAAAACACTTCTTTTTGCGGATCATATCTATGAATGAAAAACTTTTTGAGTCGAACAAAAAATATAGTATACAACCACAAACTCTATACATTTATTGAACAAAGAAAAAAAGCAGTACTAACCTTAATTTCATACAATTTCAAATGAAACAACAAGACAGCGTATTTTCCTGATACAAAATTCTTCTAAATGGGGGTGATACTTCTCCGTCACTCGGTGTGGTAACAAATTGTTATTGTTGTTAATTAGTTCTCTCTTCACGACTGAATTTGGATTTTAGGAAATCCACCTGCGAGAAACCAAAAATAAAAAAACAATTGATGTTTCAAATTATACGAACACTCTCTCAAAAAACAACAACATGAATGAAAGTTATTCGTAACTTACTATGTGTTTTATTCAACTAGAAATCTGCTCAAAAAATGAGCTTATGTTTACTACAGTATAAATGTGTGTATAGACAAACTATGGCATTGTCAAAGACAAATAGATAAAATACGAGAAAAACTCTTATTCAGCTTGGATGATTCTCGAGTAAAATTCATAATCACGTTTCCCGGTTATGAGGCTGCCATCTAACATCAAAACAAATTGTACGATACAATAATTACTGTAAGAGATATTATTCAAGAAAAATTAATGTCAGCAATTACCGGTTCTTATCTTTTATTCATTATTGAAAATTGAGAAATATTAGCAATTGTTATTCCCTATCTTCTGATGTATGTAGGATAAAAATAGTAGTCCAGGGTTGGCTTGAGTAATAGTAAATACCTTTTGATTCTCAAAAAGTATGTATAAAGAAACACTCAAGTATATCAATCTGAGAAAAATTTTGGAAAATTAATAACAATTCAATAACAACTCTCACCACCTTTGAATTACATCAAATTTGAATAAATTTTTTCGTGAACGAGTCAAAAACGTATAAAAATCTTGCAATAAAAATTCATAAAGTGAACATGAAAAACACTCACTTTCAGATGAAATCGTCGCACTTGTCACTAGTATAACTGATACAACTAACTCATCATTTTGCCTCGCAGGAGGTATTTATAGGAAAATAAGTGATGACAAATTATGCAATCAAACAAAGAGCCTTTGTTTCGTCACTTTGAGCCACGTGTGTGGCTTTATCGATGAGTGATAGCGATAATTCTGCATATATATATATTTTCACCAACTTGAAATAAAACAAAAAATTTACTGTTTCAATAAAAATATTCATTTTTTTATCAAATTTCATAATTGTTGTACAAGTCTAATTAGAATACACGCTGACATCGTAGATTCTATGATAACTCTATACACGTCAAATTCCATTTGTGACTTCTTTTTCTCTTGCCTCGTTACGTGTTCTGGAACAAATTCAACAGTTTTTTTTAATGCGGAGATCTTGAAATATATTTTTCGATTTACATTTGAATGGTGTATTCTTTGGAATTGCGCCTGCGCAAATACTGCCTTCTGACCCTCATTGACCGATGTCGAACGAATCGATTTCCATTGTTTACATGTATAAATACTAGCCTTCACGCATATTTCCTTGGAATTTAACCCACATTCGGTACGTTTGCATATTGAACGGAAATTATTGTAGTCGTAAGTACAAAATTTGTTTTTTAGCATCGTTGACGACATATTCTACACTCTGAGGCTGGAACACTTTGTCTTGAATGTCTAAATTATTCAACTGCTCGAGAACCTTTTCCTTTTCCTCATATAATTGAATATCTTGACGTAAATATTGGACACGTCTCTCAAATTCCTCTACTTCACGTCTGTATACTCTGAATGCCATTTTATTACTATTTTTTGTTCACCAACGATATACGGAACATCGTTTTCCTTCGAAAATTATGCAAAACAACGTATTTTGAAATGTCATTGTCGAATACTTCGCTCCCCCATTGCCCTCACGTTGAGTCCACAACGCTTAACCTCTCGACACTTTTGGATCTCCTCTTTCTCCTGATGATGCTAACTTGGTTATCAAAGATACGAGAATTAGTGTCCTTTCGGCATGTTGGAATGCTAGACTTCTGTTAAACTGACATGTTTTTTTTAAATGTTATATTTTGACGCACTCTGTACACTTCGATGACATGTTTTTTTCTTTAAATGATGTATTTTGAGACATACCGTACAGAGTCGTATTCCTAACCCTTCATTTTCAAACCGGCAACGCTACATTGCCCTATACACAAAGATTTATTGTACAACCGGCAACGCCGAACCTGCCATGCTGGCATTGACAGCGTAAAACCTCGATACCATCTTCATCTCTCTTTGCCTCGATTACGTCACACGCGTCTCTCGCTCATACACATCTTTAGATGAAATATTAATTATTTCCCAAATCTAAGTATCCGGCAATGCTACATTGTCCCATAGACAATGATTTATTGTACAACCGGCAATACCTGCTTGCGCTAGCAACCGGTAAAACCTCGATACCATCTCCATCTCTCTTTGCATCGATCACGTCACACGCGTCTCTCACTCTTACACACACACATACACATCTTTACATGAAATATTCATTATTTCCCAAATCTAAGTATATTTTCCTATCTTCAATAGGAAAATGAATTACGGTTTACTTGTGTAATAGACTTCCTACACAACTGTTGAAACTTGATTCATGTATTTGGTATATGAATATGTGGATATCAAGATCCATTCTATAAGTTATTTACGTGAATAATGATGTGTTTTTTGAATAATTCATTACTTCTATCATTGATTTTTGCAGATGAGGAAATAATATTTTTCAATATAGTATCATTTGTTAGAGAAATGCTGGGAAATGAGATGAGTTTTTTATTCATACTCATGAATCATGAAATTCACAATCCTTTTTTCAAGATATGAAAATGATATTTATTCGATAAACTATATTCGAAGTCATTTGTTTGGATTTGAGATGTTGAAATTATTTTCCAAATATAAAAATAATATTCGGTTGATATATCATCATCAAAGTTATCTGTTTCAGTGATGCTATGAGAAGTGTTGAAGGTTTTATTTCATTAATACCATTGTCACGCCTCGTATTTATCGTTGACTGATTAAGTCAATTTGTAAACGATTTCTTGTTGATCCACAACTTGTCGTGAACATGGCTACTGGGGATTAGAGAGAGTGCATAGCTCCCAGGGTAGGCCGCCAGATTTTAAACAGTGAAGAAGGGCGTGGGTGAGATGGAGGGTAGAGCGCCACCCGCTTTATCAACCCTGCAGCTCATACAGCATACACAACAAAAACGGGAAATTTACTCTGAACGGTAACCAATTGAATCAAACTCAAATCCAGTTGAAATATTTATAATTCCTTTCCCTAACATCTACACCTTTCTCAGTTGGTTCCAAACTTGTTAACAAATCCCTTGATGTATCTGTCAATTTATAAATTTTATAAAGTTTATCAATTTTATCAAATTTTATCATCCTACAATACTGGCAGAAAGCCTTGAGCTCCTGAGGCTACAAAGTGTCAAATGTGAGAAGATATTACTTTTCTAATTGTAAACGATACCAAAATGTTCATAAGATATAAATTATTACAGCTATAACACAAATGTTTCAAGTCTAAGGGTACTGTAATGAACCCCGACTCCCCAAGGAAGAAAGGAGAATGTATCTTCAATACTTGGGACGTTTTTGTTTTGAAGTTATACTTTACCTTAGATATAGCTATATCGCCAGCTTACAGTAGGTTGAGGGAATGAATTCATCTACATAGGCATAAAAGCATATACCCTACACTAATATTTTTTTCCCTTTTGGGCAGGTTCGAAGAACATAAATCTTTGTTGAGATAATAAATCAAGCATCAAAAATCTAGTCACTGATAAGTTATTTGTCCCTATCTTAATAGCTCAGCTCATCTGTGTGTGTGTCTCCCTCGAGGTGGCTTAAAAAACAAGAATGGTCTTAGAGTTCCAAACTTAGGTCTGTAGTGTTCTGTCGGTACAACAATTGTGAACGGCTCAACAGCGGGTAACTACCAACTACTGCTACTACTGTATCAGGCATTCAGGCAAGGATGTCTAGTCTTACAGCAATACTAACACGAGGAAATGGTATCCAGATAAAAAAAGGCCTAAAATGAAACAATTCATATTAGATGAAAACGATTCACTGAAAGTGATGTCCAGGACGATAAGTCTGGACAGAATGATCAAGCTCATTCTCTGAATATATGAGTTCTCTCGTTGATGAATACCAACTCACCTTTAAGTGTCGTGTGGCCTATAGGTTTACTTTTGCTCTCAAGAAGCAAAGATTCAAATCAGTAAGATTCTGTTCTCCATAAGAAATTGAATCACACAAGTGAGTTGAATGTTGTACCAGCATCCAAATGGCAAGAATGAAACAAATTCCTATTCTTATAAAAGATGATCTTACTTGGTTAATCCGAAAAATCGGGAAGTTTGGACATAAATTCCAAAATTAGCAAATAGCTACCAAAAGTACCACAAATAATTTTGAATCCCGGCAGCAAGACATTCATGGAACCAAAGTCGTCAATTCACCGTTCCCTCAGAGCACAGAATCCTCATGGGATTCGAATATGTGTTCGAATATAACTAATGCGTTCGAATATATCCTTGTTTAGTTGTTTATCAGTGAATGGAAACCAAACGAATGATGGTCCAGTGAATTTCTCTGCAAGCTTTGCCGTGAATTTTTTTGCAGCGTCGGACAGAGCGTAATTCCTCTTCCAAATTAATTGACCAAGGTAAAACGTTTCATTCCGATGCCTGAGGTTGTATATCTTTCGACTCCTTTCATATGCTGCCATAAGTCGTTTCCGTACGTCAACGAAAGAGTTCTGCCAACTCGATTTGTCGCTCCTCCACCCCAAGAGTAATCGGTGAGCGAGGCATGGAATCTTCCATTTCATTGAGATCCACTTCTCTTCCGAAATTCACAAGATTCGGTGTATAACTCGTCGCCTCGTGTTTTGCCGAACGCAACGCCTAGGATAATTTTGTCAGGTACTTGTCCCACTGGCTGTGATTATCCGAGACGTATGCTGTCAATACTGTTTTGAGGACTCTATGAGTTCATTCAACAGGATTTAATTTGGGATGGTAATTAGCCGTGTACTTGAGTTGGATATTATATTTACCATGATGTTTTTGAATAAAGTGCTTCTAAATTGTGCCCCGTTATCGACAATTATTCTTCTGGGAGCACCATGAACTAAAATCACATGATCCTTCAACCATTTCAAAATGTTGGTCGAGGTTGTCATCCTCATGGGGAAAAACAAGACGAA